GCTCTGAAAGCAACTTCTGATAGGAGGTATCAGAAGCAGTCAGAAGCCATATGGTGGTTAGAAGTCATAAAGCTCAACCTCTAATAGACAAAAGATTGCTCAGAAGGGAAAAGAGAAGTATGACAAGAAGAAGATCCAATGTTACTGTTGTAAGAAGTTTGGTCACTTTGCTAGAGATTGTTGGTCAAACAAGGAGAGAAAATCAGAAGAAGCAAATATAGCCAGATGTTCTAATGACGAATTTGTGCTATTGATGGCTTCTGAATCTGATAATATGGATCTGATAGACTGGTGGTATATGGACACTGGTTGTTCAAATCATCTTACTAGAAACAAGAAATGGTTGGTTGACTTTGACTCTGAAAAGAGAACAAAGATCAGATGTGCTGATGACAAATATCTTAATGCAGAAGGTATGGGAAATGTCAGAGTGATTCTGAACAATGGGAAAACAGCATTGATTCAGAACGTGTGGTATGTACCTGGCATTAGAAGCAATCTGATGAGTATGGGACAATTAATTGAGAAAGGTTTTTCAGTTACCATGAAGGACAATCTTTTGAAGCTGTATGACTGCAATCAGAAGTTGATTATGGAGTCAGAACAGGGAAGGAATAGAACATTCAAGGTGAATGTCAGAACTGCAGACTCAGAATGTCTTAGTGCAACAAGTGCTGAGAAGGAGAGTGAGTTGTGGCACAGAAGATTTGGTCATTTGAATTTCAAAAGCTTAAAACATCTGAATTCAAAGAAGTTGGTACATGGAATTCCTGTAATTAAGAAGCCTGAAAAGTCATGCAAAGTTTGCATGGAAGGAAAACAACCACGATTTCCATTTGCGTCAGAAGCTGCCCCAAGAGCAAAACATGCCTTGAGAGTTGTACATTCTGATGTGTGTGGTCCATTTCCAGTAGCATCAATTGGAGGGAATAAATACTTTGTGTTATTTGTTGATGAATTCACAAGAATGACATGGGTATCCCTTATTAAGTTTAAAGATGAGGTGTTTGATGAATTCAAGAAGTTCAGAATGAAGGCTGAGAATCAGAGTGGTCAGAAGTTGAAGATTCTTAGAACTGATGGTGGAGGTGAGTATAACTCCAAAGAGTTCCAAAAGTTCTGTGAGGAGAATGGAATTGAGCATGAGGTTACTGCTCCTTATACCCCTCAACACAATGGTCTTGCTGAAAGAAGAAACTGCATTTTGCTTGATATGGTGAGAAGCATGCTAAAGGAGAAGAAGTTTCCTTAGAAGCTATGGGGAGAAGCTGTTGCCACTGCAACGTATGTACTCAACAGATGTCCTACGAAGAAGTTGTAGGAAATAGTTCCAATACAGAAGTGGACTGGAGATAAGCAAAGTGTTAGTCATCTGAAGGTTTTTGATTCTGTTTGCTATAAACATGTTCCAGAAGCCAGAAGACAGAAGCTGGATGATAGAAGCAAAGTGATGATTCTGATAGGGTACCACAGTACAGGTGCATACAAGCTCTATTGTCCAGAAACCAATAAAATTGAATTCAGCAGAGATGTGATTGTAAAGGAATCAGAAGTTTGGAATTGGGATAAGTCTCAATCTGACTCTGATGTTAGAACTTCTGAAGAAAGGTCAGAGTTAAGAATTTCTGAAGTTGGAGTAAATTCTGACGTTGACTCTGATAGTGATTCAGACTCTGGAGAAGACTCAGAAGATGAAGGTGACTCTGATGATCCAGACTCTGATGACAATCCAGATTTTGGTGGCAATTTAGACTCTGAAGATGGCCAAGGCTCTGGAGGAAGTCAAGCCTCTGAAGCTAGAAATTCCGAAGTTCAAGACTCTGGAAATATGTCAGACCCTGAAGATGGTCAAAGCTCTGGAGGAAGTCAATCATCTGAAGCTCAAGACTCTGAACAAGTTCAGAGACCACAAAGAAACAGAAACATTTCTAGAAGATATGCAGAATTTGACATGCTGCAAGACACTGAAGTAGACTCTGAAGGAGAAGTTATTCAGTGTGCCATGATAGTAGACTCTGAACCCATAAGTACAGAAGAGGCTCTTAAGCAGAAGCTCTGGCTGAAGGCCATGAAAGAAGAACTTGATGCTATAGAGAGAAACAAGACTTGGAAGCTGACAGAACTTCCAAAAGACAAGAAAGCCATCAACGTCAGATGGGCTTTCAAGCAGAAGTTAAAGCCAAATGGTTCAATTGGCAAACATAAAGCAAGGTTGGTAGCCAGAGGATTTCTACAAAAACCTGGGCTGAATTATTCTAAAGTGTTTGCACCTGTAGCAAGACATGAAACAATCAGAATGGTGATTGCAATAGCTGCTAACAGGAATTGGCCTCTGATGCATTTAGATGTAAAATCTGCATTTCTGAATGGTCCATTAGAAGAAGAAGTTTACGTGTCACAACCTCCTGGATTTGTGAAAAGGAATCAGGAAGGGATGGTGTACATATTATACAAAGCTCTATATGGACTGAAACAAGCGCCCAAAGCTTGGAATCAGAAGATTGATTCATTTTTCAAGAAGCAAGGCTTTCAGAAATGTGAGATGGATTACGGTGTCTATGTTCAGCATACTTCTGAAGGCAATATGGCTTTGGTATGTTTATATGTTGATGATATACTATTGACTGGAAGTTCTGAACAGGAGATAACCAAGTTCTAAAAAGTTCTGATGAATGAATTTGAAATGATTGATCTAGGCAAAATGACATACTTTCTAGGGATGAAGTTCAGATATTCGGAGAAAGGTATCATTTTGCATCAGCTCAAGTATGAATTAGAACTTCTGAAGATATTTGAACTGAAGAATTGTAAGATTGCTGTCACACCTTTTGATACAAATCAGAAACTGAATTCTGACTCTGATGGAAAGGATGTGGACGCTACAACCTTCAAACAGTTGGTTGGTTCTCTGAGGTATTTGTGCAATACCAGACCTGATATTTGCTATTCTGTTGGGATGATTAGTAGGTTCATGAGTAAACCTAAGTGGTCCATTACCAAGCTGCTGTCAGGATTCTGAGGTATATCAAGGAAACTCTGAAGTATGTAGTGTTGTTTCCTTCTGGAAGAAAGGATGAGTCAGAACTTCTGAGTTATTCAGATTCGGATTGGTGTAGAGACAGAGTTGACAGAAGAAGTACCTATGGGTACTTGTTCAAATTTCTGGGGGTCCCATTTCTTGGTGTTCCAAGAAGCAACCTGTTGTGGCGTTATCAACATGTGAAGCTGAATACATTGCAGGTGTTATTACTGCATGCCAAGCTGTGTGGATTCTGAATCTGTTGCATGATCTAAAGATTAAAATAAATAAACCTCTGAAGTTGATGATTGACAACAAGTCTGCAATCAATCTTTCCAGAAACCCAATGTTGCATGGAAGAAACAAGCATATTGAGACCAAGTATCATTTTCTGAGACATCAAGTTCAGAGTGGAGTGCTAGAAGTACACTGCAACACTCAGAAACAGTTGGCAGATGCTCTGACGAAAACTATCAAGATTGATCAATTTCTCAGACTAAGGGATGAAATTGGTGTTATAAGTTTTGATGGAATATGAATTAAGGGATGGTATTAGAAGTAATTCATATTTATTAGTTGTACTATTTCTTAGCCCCTAAGTTTGTTAGAAGATATTTTAGTATTTTTATCTTATTCTAGTAACCCTAATTTTAGAGTTATAAATAAGGTAACAATTATTGTAATTTTGTAGTAGTGTGTACCCGTCACTCTCTTAATAAAATATTTCTCTTTTCATCATTTATTCTACCTTTGCACCAACAATTCCTTAATTTAAAAAAAATGAAATTTTTGTAGGATTTACATGGATTTTTCAAATATATAGTATTTTAAAAATTAAAAATATAATAATAATAATAATAATAATAATAATAATAATAATAATAATAAAATACCATTTTATCATTTTATACAAAATTATTTTTTCATGTTAAATATTTTTTTTATATTTAAAAAAAAATCTATTTTAGAAAGCCTTCATTTTCTCATCGTTCCAAACTCTCGACAAATTCCTCCAAACTTCCAAACAATACCTTAGAGCCCAAAACTGTTTGAATTAACCAAGTCTCAAAAGAAAAATATACTGAATTAAAAAAGACACTAATATATATATAGACTTTGAATCGATCAAAGTTTCTTAATTTAGTAAAGAATCATGTCTGCATCAGTTAGTCTTTTCTTTAGATTTCACCCAAAACAACCAAAAAATAAGAAAGAGAAGAAGAGTCAATCCATTACATTAGTAAACAAGTAATCCTCTACGTGGGATCATGCTGTTACATCACCACTAAAAACCTCTTCACATGTCGACAAAATTTCTAACAAAACGCCGAACAAGTCATCATTTTTCGTGTCTAAATGGATCACCCAAAGATAAGATCATATAGATGAAAGGACAATTTAAAGAATTAAAAAATCTTAAAAAGCTATTTCTCATATCTTATTTAATCGTTTCCTAAACCTTTTCTCAAACACGTGCTGCGTGTGATGTCCTATTTTTCTATCGACATGGTCAAATCAAAATCCACTACCACAAGTTTATTAATTAAAATCATATATTATATAGTATAGATTAATTAAGTACATTATATTTGATGAATAACATGAATATCACAGCTACTAATTGATGTTAATTTAATGGAACAAAGTTATAACAAACCAATTACGTGCAGAAAAACTTAATCTAATAAAAATAGAAATAAATTTACATACATAATACTTCATAATTCATGATAATATTGAGAATAACAATAATAATGATTAGATTACTATACAAAAAGAGTTCTTTCTGAATGGCTTAGTGATAATCAGATACTACCCTTAAACCTTTATCACTCATACCTTGAGATAAAAATATTTACAAAGATTCACAAAGGGACAAACAGATACAAAAATCAACAAAACAACCCCAAAACGACGTCGCTTTAAACCAACAATTAATCAGAACCAATAACCTCCAAAAATAAACCAACTTCCATTCACTTCATTTCAGCAGTTCAGAAACCCACCCAACATCCGGAGCCCCACCTGATTGACCCAAACCCGGATCTGAATCCGGATTCTCCATTGAATTTTCTTTGCTTAGTTTCTCAAACATTTTAGCCCTTATGTCTCTTCCAGATTCAACTCTTTCCATTATTGGCTCCTCCTCACAACTCTGTTCCCAAAGATCAAAATACCCAACGCCAACCCGACCCGAATTGGGTTTTTGAGTTGGTGTATTAGGAAGACTACAAAACCCGGGTCGAAGGACAGAGCCTCTTGGTGACCCGAAACTTGACCCGAATGTCAGGTTTCTATTAACCGGCATAGATTTTAACTTCCCAAGCTGTAAGTTTCTTAAGGAAGCCACCATCTCGTTAATTGAACTAGAACCTAGAGATTTACTCATTGGAGATATCGGTGGTGAATCTAACTCCGGTGGAGAAATAGAAATCGGAGAAGACAAAAACGGCAAACCAGTTTGTCTTAGTGGAGAACCGTCGTAAGAATCTGGCGAGTTTAGGCTCCGTGGAGTATTCTGTTGAACGTTGAGTCGGATCTGCTCCGGTGTGTGAGCGAAGAAACAAACGCGCCGGCGGCAACTGGTTCCATCTTTGCATGGCTGAGTACGGTAACGCGCTGGGTGAAGCCAGCACTCAAAAACACCGTGCGCGTACTCACACGCGTCACCTTTCTTGCAGTTTCCTTTGCGAAAATCAGGACATGCTGTGCCGGAGTAATGAAACTTCCTTGGATCACGACGGCGTGCTTTCTCTCCGGGATGAGCGTACGGACACTCGGTCCAGTCATGCGATCTTCCACGAGCGCACCTTCTTATCTTGAACTCGTACATGCGGAAATGATCGCATGAGTATGCGTCCACTGGAGACTCCGAGTCACGGCCGTGAACGTCCGAGTCGGAATCGCCGTCTAACTCGTTTGACGGAAGATAACGCTGAAGCGCCGTCAGTGCTTCACGGAGATAGTACGGAGAGTAATCTCCGGAGCCAGCATTGCAATCGTCAGGGAAATAAGAGGAATAAATCTCAGCCGTTGGATCGTCATGGGTGGGCCATGGAGGCACATGAACCGTTGGATTCGCTCGATGATGTTCTCCTACCATCATTTTGTTTTGTTAGTGTTTTTGGTTTTATCTGAATGTTTACAGAAACTCCGGCATGGTTAGCTTGCTTTATAAACAGCCATTTAACCGTGGTTGAGTCAATATTTAACCGTGGTTAGGTTAAAAAATTCAATGAACTTTCAATTTTTTCTACTGCGGTTAAAGTAGTGGGTGTTTCTTCTGTCACCGTACACGTTCAAAGCTTTAATATGACAGCAAGGTTAATCGTTTGCCACGTGTGATGATTGTGGATTATTCCTACACGTGGCTTGTATTAATTGATGGTTATATAGAATAATGAACGCTCTGTATTCTGTTGGGTCTTTTTTTGTTTCTTTTGACTCTCAAAGCGGTGGAGCGTGAGATACGCTACATTAATCAAAGAAGATATATCTAGATTTTATAATTATCCGAAACAAAAATTAAATTAAAAAGAAAAGAAAAAAGGTTAAAAATAAATTAAAATTGATAAGTACTATGCTTAATAGTACAATTGCACGTAGTTTTATTGACTCTTTAAAATTAAATAAAATAAAGGAAGGACATAAAAGAAAACCAGAGTGGGAAAGATTAGGAAGCCCACGGTGTATAGTGAATCAAAAGTTTTAATTTTAGTATTAAATTTTCTAACATAAATTTCAATTGTTGGTTATCAACTAATAAAATAATAATGACATGAAACCAATGGGTATATAATGGTTTAATTTATAACAAGTGTTGGTAAATAATGGTTTAATTTATAACAAGTGTTCTAACAAAAAGTTAAGAAAATAAGAATAATATTATGAAATAAAGTAAAATAGGAGAAAAAAATTAAAGAGAAAAATTAGAATCTTTGTATTTTATTTTTTTTACTAGTGTGTGTATCTTTACACTAATAATAATAATAATAATAATAATAATAATAATAATAAGATGTATGAATAGTCTAATAAAATATCAATACATATCTCATAATTAATTTTATCTTTAAAATTTTTACCTTTTAAAATAATTAACTGTGTTAATTTTAATGATAAAATAAACATTTATTTATTAAAATATCTTTATTAATAGTAATAGATAGTAGAGTACATACAAAAATTATAGTATCATAATTACAGATAGGTTAAAGATAATTACAGATAAGTTAAAGGAAAGAAATATATATATATCACATTGTATTTTAAAAAAATAAATAATTTGAGAGAAATCAAATAGAAAAAAGTAATACATATTGTGTGACTGATGGACTATATAATTAGTAGATATAATTATTGGTGACAAAAAGACAGAGATATTAAACATGGATCTTATAACACTCCTCTTATATGTTAGTAGAGTATGTGCCTCAATAAAATCTCACTAAAAAAATAGTAAAAAAAACTACAGTATTATTTTGTAAAATTTAAAATATATTTATTATTCCTACATAACTGAACCATCATTCTTATCTAATGCAATCTTTTGTGGTTTTTTTACCCTACTACCCCCATTTGAAATAAAATATACCATATTACCCCACTTTGAAATTTTTTTACAAATATATCCCCTTTCTACTACGAACTCGTCCATTGATTGGACCAACCAGTCTGCCCCAGTACAAGCACGCCCATTGGAAGGACGAGCTAGTGAAGAAAAATAGCTCAGTATGAGCTCGTCCATTGAAAGGACGAGCTTGTGAACGTGATTTTTTTTTTAATTTTTTTTATTCTGAGTTTTATTTATGTATTATTGGAATTTTATTTTTTAATACATTAAATATTTATGTATTATAATTAATAATAAAATAATAATGTAAATTTTAATAAATAATAAAATTTTAATTTTTTTAATTCTGAATTTTATGTATATTTATTTTTGAATACATTTTTTATTTATTTATTTATGTATTATAAATAATAAAATAATATAGTAATGTTAATTGTAATAAATAATAAAATTTTAATGTTAATTTGAATAAATAATAAAATTTTAAGTATAAATAATAAGATAAATAATGTTAATGATTTTTTAAAAAATAAATTATTAAATATTCATTAATAAAGAATTAAATGAGTATAAATAATTTGTTATAAATAAATTATTGTTTGGTATAACTAAATTAAATGAGTATAAATAATTAAATAATTTTACTGTATACGAATTAAAAAAATAATGAATGATGTTCAGTAGTATAGGTGTGTAGTTTTTACAGAGTCTCGGTTACTGAATGACCGAGCTTAAACGTTATTTTTTTTATAAATAAGTGTATTGCTCATCACCAAGTATCATTTGTGACCACTTATCTTACTCATAAAAATGTCTGTTCAAACTCTTGTTTTCTATGGACCAGAGAAAAAAATCAGTATTAACCTAGATCCTTTGTGGAATTTCAGAACATTGGTTGCAGCAATTAACACCGGATTTCGGCAGCTGGGCGGTCGTCGCGTGACAGTGAGGAAGATTGAGTATCATTGTCCATATATAACGCTTACCGATGCCAGCCCGGAGGGGACGTATATGTACTACCTAGATCGTATAGAAAACAATGAAGATGTCCATTGCATGTTTTTAGCACATAGTGGCGAAGTAAACAGAGGAGTCTCAGATTCACTTGTGTTGGTCGCTGTTGTTTGTTAGATTTTGTGTTGGTCGTTGTTGTTTGTTAGAGTTTATGTTATCTTCTTGTATTTGTTTTTTGTGTTTGCGGAGTCACGGGTCTAATTTATGTTTGTAGTTCGCGTGTTTTTTTGTAATTTTAAAGTTGTTTTGAATTAAAAATATTTGAAGGATTACATACAAAAGTAGTACAATAAAATTATCTAGTTGGTCGGTTTGACGGACCGGCAACGTTGGGACATTTTCTACGCATATGACCTATTTCTCTACAAATACCACATCTTCTTTGCTCTTTTTCTGCGTCGTCCATCTCAGTTCTAATTCTAGTACTATTTGGACGCCATTTTTTATTTCTTCTCATGGAATCGTCGTGGCATAGAGTAAAACCTTCATACTTTGGCCAGTTCTCCTCGTGCGGTAGTCCCAGGAAGCTCTCCTGGTAGACCTTGAACACGCTTAGAACTTTGAAGACCTCTGGAATGTGAATTGTGTAGTCCTGTCGTATGCTAGAACATGTCGCTATCACGTGAGAGCAAGGCAAGTGAAATGCCTGAAACTTTCCACAGTCACAGAATCGACTATGCAAGTCAACACGGAAAGTACCCGTTGGACGACCGTCGTTATAGTTAGTCTTTTCCTGCACCATGAAACAAAATCTTTCGCGATCAAATTGCATGACGTTGTGTGTGTTAGCCTTAGCTACCTCTTCAGCCATAGCTTTGTTACAACCATCTGTAAACACTTTCCCTGAAGATAACATCTTGGTCCATTTGTGACCTCTTTTACCAAAGAGCGAACCCATTCTATAGTACGTAGACTGGACTAATGCAGTGATGGGAAGGTTTCTTGTTGCCTTTAGTACAGAGTTTATTGTCTCTGCCAAGTTAGATGTCATATGTCCCCAACGTTGCCCTCCATCAAATGCTCTGGCCCACTTCTCCCTAGGAATGTTGTCTATCCAATTCGAAGCCTCAATGTTTGTTTTTTTGATTTCTCTGCGATAGTAATTAAATGTAGCCTCTGTTAATGCGTAACCTATAAGAAAAATTGTGTGAAAAAATGATAAAAGTGTGCTACGAAACTTGAGATAAAAATGGAAAAATTTATTTTCTTACCCATGTTAACAAGTTTTTTGCGTAGAGCCTTGTCCTTGATCTCGCGCATGAAGTTCTGAGCGATGTGCCTTATGCAGTAGACATGGGAGGATGTTGGTTGAAGCCATCCGTTTTCGGGATTGTTGTATGCACTCTTTATCGATTCGTGTCTATCTGATATTAGACACAAATTTGGTTGTGGTGTCACGTGTAGTCTCAGGTTCCTCAGGAAAAAACTCCATGCTTCCTTTGTTTCACCTTCGACCAATGCGAAGGCTATTGGGAAAATATTTGCATTGCCATCTTGTGCCACCGCCATCAATAGAGTTCCTATGTACTTACCATACAACCAAGTTCCGTCTACCTGCACAATGGGCTTACAGTAGGCGAAGCCACGTATACACGGACGAAATGCCCAAAACAAACGATGAAATATTCGTTTTCCAGAGAGTTGGTAACCTTCATTTGATATCGCAGGTAGTGTTTCTAAATCTATAATGGTTCCTGGAAGAAAGGTTTTCATTACCAGTAACCACTGCGGTAGGTCGTTGTAAGATGTTTCCCAATTTCCAAAAAGCGACTCTACCGCCTTGCACTTAGCGATCCACGCCTTCCTATAAGATATGATGTACCCGTATTTTTCTAGAATATGGGCAATGATCACTTTTACCTTGAGTGAGGCGTCGGTGTTGACAAGTTCCCTGATGTTATGGCTAGCCATTTCTGAACTGAGCTTCCTATGGTCTTGTGCCATAGACGTCGGACTGCATGTGTGAGCCCCAGACAACTTACCTATCACCCATTTCGAGCTCCTTTTTCTCAAAGAAGCTCTGCACTTGAAACCGCAGTCTTGTTTCTTACATTTAATGACATACCGTTTATTGTCAGACTTATACACCCAATAGTCAACACTGCGTGTTATGTGCCAATGTTGCAGAGCAAATACACAAGCTTCCTTGTCGTCGAACTCCATCTCAACCTCGATTTCGTCACCTACATGGTTTTGAGTAGCATTTTCAAACACGAAGGTTGTATCGTCATGTTCGTCACATATATTTTGCATGTGAGCAGGCGGGTTGTACAAACTTATTGGTTGTGCACGGATCGGCGTTACGACCATATCTTCATTGTCTTCGTCATCACTGTCACCAAAAATATCTTGCATCCTGACCTCCTGAATATCGTCGTCGCTTGCTTCTCCAACCTCCTCATTTGGTATGAAAGGGAGGTTGTTTTGTGTTGGTTCGTCGTCGGATGTTTGACTGTACCCGTAGCAATGTGACTGTGTCTCTTGTGTTGGAAATGTTTCGGGGTTACAACTCAATTATATGTAAGTTATCAAACATCGTGTGGCACCGAAACATTGCAATCACATCTTCGTCGTTTCTGATCGGCGTCATTAAGTAAAAAATTGTACGCTCGTCTTCAATAAGTGTTGGATGGCGATAAAATATTTCTGAAACGCTTCGTGTCAATTTTTTTTCCATTCTATCTTTTAAATGGAAAAAATCAGAATTCACATGAATTTTAAACGCGTATGTATCCGTGTTGCTGAACGAGAAACCGTCGGGGCTATTTGTTGTAAAAACACCGTTGTAGTGGCATGTAAGAATTAGGTTTCTCAGAGACATTTTTGAATGTGGAAAATTTCTTGGTGGTGAAGAATGATAGTATAGTGGTTATGAATATTGATAGTAGTATGTTTTGAACAATAAAGTTGACATAATTTATTAATATTTGCATGCATGAATAATCATTTTTCTATAAATTCGATTTTTTACTTCAATTTTTCTACTCAAACTTTCTACACTCACTACACTAGCATTTGTAACACAAGCATTGTATTTCTCTACTCTTCGATTTTTACCATGTCGATTTTGTGGATGGGCGAAGAACACCGTGGTACACAGCAGAATATCCAAGCAAGCGTAAGTTTGTTAATAATATCATTTCATTAAATATTATTTCTCTAGTAGTTTAATAATATAAATTTTGATTACATTATGTTTGTTCAATGTTGTTGCAGACAAATGCCCCAAGGTTTAGAGTGCATTTGCATGCTCCTATTGATGCAAATGCGAGAATAATGTCGTATCTTGAGATAGCCGGTTTTGCAAATATTTCAAAAATAAAAAGTCTAAAAATCGACTCCAGCTTGGTTGCGGCGCTGTTGGAGAAGTGGAGACCAGAAACACACACGTTTCACCTCCCAACGGGCGAATGCACAATAACTCTTGAAGATGTCTGTATGTTACTTGGTCTGCGAGTTGATGGAACAACCATCAACGGTCCCACTGAGGTAACAAACTACGTTTACATGGAAAACTTAGGGGTGGAACCTACCGAAGATGAAAAAATAAAATGTTCCGTTAAAATAACCTGGCTAGAGGGTTTATACGGAAATTTAAAAAATAAATCTGCCCCTACCCAAGAAGACGTTCTCTTAGAAGCTAAAATATATATTTTACTTGCAATCGCTACAATATTGTTTCCTGACAAAAGTCAGAATCTATTACATTCTTCTTGGATCCCTTTCGTAGGGGATATTATAAAATGTGGCACCTATAGTTGGGGTTCTGCATGTCTAGCTAAATTGTATAGAGAAATGTGCAAGGCGGCAGTGAAAGATATTAGGAGCTTGAGCGGATTTGCACTCCTATTAACATCATGGGCATTCACACGTATCCCATTGTTTGCTCCTGTCACTACAGTGGAACCGTCGTATCCATATGCACAAAGGTATTACTTTATTAAAATATTCATTTATGTGTACATAACGTAAATATTTTTTATTCAACTATCTCTAACAATATTTTTATTCAACTATCTTTGACAATATTTTTTTTGGTAAAAAAGATGGGCGCAACGAGAGATGAACTACCGTGCAAATCCTCGTTTCCATCTCCAAGGTTATTGAAACGCATTGGACCATATGCAAGAACGCGATGTAAGTTTCAAACCGCGTGGAAATAGTCTTCAATTCAACTCATTATCGGTATATTAATTTCCTTTTTTTTTCCAGTTCATATGGAGACCGTACATTCGATATCCGCTGCCGAGGCTTGAAGATAGTCAAATCTGGAGTGCAACAACATTCCTTATCTGTTTCTATACCGTTGAGATGCATCAAACGGATAGAGTAACACTTCAGTTTGGACTGGATCAACAAATCCCCCCCCCCCAAGGTGTCTAAGAGAACACCACGCCATGACTATGAGAAAGGCACAAAGAGTTAATTGGCGACAATTAAACAACGATGAGCTCAAAGAATGGAGAAACAGGAGACATGTGATTTTACAAGGGGATGTCGTGTTAGGTGAACGCAAGCTAAGTCAAGAGTATTTAACTTGGTTTCGTGCCATTCCTTATGTGCACATTGCTCCGGACCAATTTTTAACGGACCCACGCTTGCAAGGATCATCATCGACACAACAAACTACGGCATCAATGCATCAGGATGTGCCACCAACCCACACATCCCAACATTCATACCAAAACCAAACACCCAACAACCCACTCCATCAACAAAACTATACCTACCAATACAACCAACAATATCAGCCTCAACCATACCTACGACCACCCATACAGTTCACCCCAGTCCAACCGCCCCTCTTTGACCATACCGACCCTCATTTCCAATATCAACCCTCCAACACAACCTACTCTCAACCCGCCTCGACCATCAACACTATCTATACTCAACCCACCCAGAACTTTACGCCTGATGACGTCTACTACCCAACCTTTCAACACCCCCGATCCGAAACCTACCCGCAACCACCACACTCATTCCAACAATTTTTGTTGACAGACGAGCAACTGATGCAGATGTCGGATTTTAACATTGATGATCTTCTTGATGAGCAACCGGGACCCTCTTCACGGCCGACAAACCCCCCTACAACACATCACCATGAAGACATGTCTTCTGACTCTTCTGAATCAACTAGAAATGAGCGTTTGGGTAGGGGAAATAGACAGCGAAGGATCCCTAGGTGTGGAACTGGGGGACATATTAGATGAATTGTATTTTTATTTTAATCAATGTTAAAATTATTTATTAATGAGTATTTCATAATTTAATTTTTTATTCATGAGTATTTAATAATTTATTTTTTATTAATTAATTTTTTTTTATTGATGAGTATTTTTTAATACATAAAATTTTATTATTTATTAAAATTAACATTATTATTTTATTATTATTTATAATACATAAATAAATAAATAAAAAATGTATTCAAAAATAAATATACATAAAATTCAGAATTAAAAAAAATTAAAATTTTATTATTTATTAAAATTTACATTATTATGTTATTATTAATTATAATGCATAAATATTTAATGTATTAAAAAATAAAATTCCAATAATACATAAATAAAACTCAGAATAAAAAAAATTAAAAAAAAAATCGCGTTCACAAGCTCGTCCTTTCAATGGACGAGCTCATACTGAGCTATTTTTCTTCACTAACTCGTCCTTACAATGGGCGTGCTTGTACTGGGGCAGACTGGTTGGTCCAATCAATGGACGAGCTCGTAGTAAAAAGGGGGTACATTGGTAAAAAAAATTCAAAGTTGGGTAATATGGTATATTTTATTTCAAAAGGGGGTAGTAGGGTAAAAAAACCATCTTTTGTACTAATGAGTTGAAAAATCTACTTGAGTGATTTCGTAAAAAAGTTTGTAAAATTATCACACAAATAAATTTGTTGGATAATTATATCATCACACTTTTGAAAATTATAAGTGAAAATTTTTTTTGGAGAAATATATTTTGTTCTGACTTTTTTAATGTAATAATTTTTTAATTGAGTGATGTATGTACTATTATCATCATATATGATTGTTGAATTTATTTTGCATATGATAAATCACAAGTCTACTAAATTAAAGACCTCAACCAAACAAATTCTTGACTTGTGTTATGTAGTGTTAAAAAATCAGTTTGATTTGATAAAGTTACTGCTATGATTTATAGTGTTAAAAATTCAACTTGTGTTATGTAGTGATAAAAATTCAGTATAATTATTCATTCTCTTATCAACGTCCGAAAAGATTTTTTTCCACATTCAATAATTTAACAATCATTAGGATAGACACCAGATAAGATTTGTCCATATAAAAAAATTTTAACACTTTTTTTTATAAGATTTTTGATGTTAAAACATTTCGTTGATCAAATGCACAATTTGTAAACTTAAACATAACTTTGTCTTTCTTATGTCCTTCATCTCAAACTCTTTATTTAAGAAATTTATAGATTTTATAAGTTTTTTGATTTGGAGTGATTATAATGGATCGTCTTGACCTTCAATTTAAAGCAACAACAGGGGTTATAAGAGAGGAGGGGGTGTACCTGCAAAGTACTCCGATGTCAAAGTAAGTGTTTGGACTAACGAGAGAAAATAAGTATGACTGTTTAGGTATGAGCAAGAATGATTACAATACCTGACCCTCTTAAGAGAAAGGGTATTATAAGTTTTCCTCCAACGCGGGGCCAAGGTCTCCCATGTAACCGAAATATGTGGTTGGTCAATGGGGGACTGTCAGGTGGAAGATCTAGCGTGTGATCTTTGACCTGGTACAACTGTCTAAGTGACTTTCGGAGGGGCAGTTGGTCCTGTGAACTGTCAAGCGCGTGAGGGGCACGTCCCCAACGGCTATATTTGATACTCTCCCTGTACCTGGGATGCTACGAGCTGAGAGTTTGTGAAAAATTTTATTTCTTTTGTGCCCAGGTCCTCCGTCAGTCGTAAGCCTGTGAGGAAAGCTTCGTATTCGGCTTGACTATTCGAGGTCGGGAAGGACAGGACCAACGATACTTCGGTCAGGATCCCTTCTTCATTTTCGAGGATGATGCCCGCCCCACTGTTGGTGGAACTGGATGCTCCGCCGACAAAAATCATCCACCTATGCGTCCCGCTGGAAGGGGATGTTGGGGATGTCATTTCTGCCACGAAGTCGGTCAAGACCTGTGCCTTAAGAGCCTTCCTGCCTTCGTAGTGGATATCAAATTTTGATAGTTCCAGAGACCATCTGAGTATCCTTCCATCCATATCTGGTCGACCGAGTAGCTGCCTAATAGGTTGGTCCGTTTGCACTATTATTGTCTGGGCCAGGAAGTAATGTCTTAATCTTCTCGTAGCATTGATGAGGGTTAGGGCGACCTTCTCGATCTGTTGGTATCTAAGTTCTGGCCCTTGTAAGGCTTTGCTTGTGAAGTATACTGACTTTTTCCCGTCGAGGGTTTCTCGAATGAGGGCAGCGCTGATGGGTTCGTTAGTGACAGAGAGATAAAGGTAAAGTGTTTCTCCGCTGTCTGGTCGTGACAAAACAAGTAGCTCGGACAATGCTTGCTTGAGGTAGCACAGTGTCTGCTCAGTTTCCTCCGTCCACCCGAACGTTGCCTTTTTCCGAAGGAGCTTGAAGAAAGGAAGGGCGTGGTGGGCAGATTTAGCCACGAAGCGAGATAGCGAGGTGAGCATTCCGTTGAGGGATTGTATGGATTTTTTTGACTTAGGTGTGGGGAATTCATAAAATGCTCGAAATTTGTCGGGGTTGGCCTCAATCCCTCTATTAGTGAGGTAGAATCTGAGGAACTTTCCTGCCCGTACGCTAAAGGTGCATTTTTCTGGGTTGAATCGCATTTTACACTCCCTGGCTTGGTCGAAGAACTTTTGCAGGTGGAGTGTATGATCAAATTCCTCTTGGAATTTCACGATTATGTCGTCCATGTATACTTCAAGCATGTCTCCGATTTGTGATCGAAAGACTTTTTTCATCACTCACTGGTACATGGCCCCTACGTTTTTTAGACCGAAGAGCATTACTTTGTAGTAACAGTTGCCCGAAGAGGTCATGAAAGTGGTGCACTTCTTGTCCTTCTCTGCCATGGGGATCTGGTTATATCCCGAGTAGGCGTCCATGAAGGATAGAAGTTTGAAACCGGTGGAGTTATCCACTAGCTTATCGATGTTAGGCAAGGGGTATGCATCTTTCGGGCAAGTCCGGTTGAGATCGGTGTAATCAACACACATTCTCCATTTTCCATTATGTTTTTTGACTAATACAATGTTGGACAGCCAGGTTGTATACTTGGCTTCTGAGATAAAGTTGGCCTCTAAGAGCTCTTTTACAAGTTTATTCGCCGCTTCAGTCTTCTCGTCGAATTGCTTGCACCTGCGTTGTGCTATTGCCCGAGCAAATGGGTTGATGGTGAGCTGATGGCAAGCGATTTATGGGCTGAGGCCGGGCATGTCCACGACGCTCCAAGCAAACAAGTTAGTGTTGTTCCTCAAGCAAGTCTTTAGTTATTCTTTCACTTCATCCGGCAGTCCCGCACTAATCCTGACACATTGGTTGGGGTCGACCCCGAACACAATCACCTCGAATTCTCCATCTGAGGTTGGGCGCATAACAACCGAGGAGAATGAGCTTCCCGTTGAGACTGGAATATATTCTTCTCCTTCTTCTGGGATCCGACTGTCAAGTTCGATGGTATGAACATATAATGCTGGCTTCTTTCCGAGCTGGCTTTCTTTGCTGAGAAGATCTTCGTCGCTTGCCCGCTTGATGCTCTATGGTGTTACACTAATTGAACTTTGTCCTTTGGTGGTCGCTTCGAAGCATCATCTTGCGACCTCGATGTCCCCGTGTAAAGTGGCGACATGCCTCTTTTTAGTAGAATACTTCATCTTAAGATGAACTGTGGAAGGGACAACAATTAGTTCGGCGAGTGTCGATCTCCCCGGGAAGCATTGGTATAATGAGGGGCAGTCTATGACTAAGAACTAATTTTTAATCTTTTTGGCAGCATCCTCTTTTCCGAACGTAACTTGGAGCTCTATGTATCCCCATGGTCTAGCTGTGGCCCCATTGAATCCTTGTAGATCTGACCTTACATATGGGGGCATGTTCTTTTGGTCAAGTTTGAGGGCGCAAAATAGGTTGGTGTACATGATGTCCACCGAACTACCCTGATCAACAAGGATTCTGCGAACGTCAGTGTGGGTTAACCTGACTCTAATAAGAAGAGGGATGTGAGAGTTAGGGGAGCCTCCGGGGAGCTCTTCTCGAAAGAAAGTGATTGGCTGGGATTGCTCTCAGAATTTTTCGGGTGTTGACAGGCGACCTGGACTACAGTCGATTAATTGTTCAAATTTTCTCTTTACTGATCCTACTGTGAGTTTGTTGTATCCGCCGCAGGAAATAACCATTGTGTCAGGGAAGGCCTCCCATGGGCTGTGTGTAGAAAAGTACGCAGGCTCTTCGAACCCGCTGGGGATGAAAAAGTCCTCTGGTGGTGAGATAGACATGGCGACCAGAGGGGGAGGGCTAGAAGATGAGGCTTTGATAACACGAAATCATATAGATATTTTCATGCATAATTCAACTAAAGTCTAACTGTTTTCGATCCGATTTCGGGTTATTTCCGTGTATTTGTCTGATGTTTTGCAGGTATTCAACGATCACGTCTAAACAAGGCAACATGAAGAAAAGAAGCAATCCCAGATGGAATATGGACGAAAAAGGAGTGAAAACACAATGAAAAGCACAGCAAGCTGTTTTTGCTGATATGACGACCGTCACAGCTTCATGACGACCGTCACACGGGTGACGACCGTCACACCTTGTTACGACCGTCATGCAGGCAAAAACGCCCCACTCATATTACACGTCAAAGAAACAGTTCCAATTCCCACAGAGTGGACCACTACTCCCTAAATTATCTGCCTCAAGGTCCATCATCTTCAGAGATAACCGTTGGGATTCCACTTCTATAAAAAGGGAAGCAGGGGACTTCAGAAGGGGTGCTGCATTCATACCACGAAGTGCTGCCGAATTTACTTTCCAGAGCATTATTTTCCAGTTTTATTCTCATTTGTTTCTCTTTACCTTTCCTTATTCCCATTTCCACTCTTCTGTAATTTCTATTGTACTGTACGATCAAATTGGCACTAAAGACCAGAATCCTGCCAACATCTGTGGAGGATCTGCCCAAAGGCCAATTGGCATAT